TTTGGAGTACGCCGATGACATCGTCTGTCTGTTCGAATGTATGGAGGACGCGCAAAGTGCACTTGATAGATTAACAAGTGCAGTGGCCACATTCGATATGTGCTTTGCGCCTTCAAAGTGCCAAGTTCTGCTGCAGGACTGGGTTTCGTCTACTCTCTCTCTGACAATAAATGGCCAGGATTTTGTTGTGGTGGTTTACTTTTCCTACTTAGGTAGTTGCGTGACCAATGACGGCAGTGCAACAAACGAGATAACCGCCCGCATTTCCAAGACTCAAGCAGCATACGCAGGATTGAAACACCTTTGGCGTAGACGCGACGTTTCACTGCAGTTGAAAGGTCGTGTATATTGTGCTAGCGTTCGTTCAGTCCTGCTTTATGGTTGTGAGACCCTGAATTTGCGAGTAGAAGATATCCGTCGACTAAAAGTTTTCGATTATCGGTGTTCACGCAATTCAGCCCATGTGGGATGGAGCGAACGGGTTAGTAACGTGGATGTAAGCCGTCGTGTGTTTGGGAGTCTGTCAGGCATAAACCTGCTAGCGTACTGAATTCAGATTACTAGGCTTCGGTGGCTAGGGCACGTATTGCGTATGCCCAGCCATCGTCTGCCGCACCGCGCTTTATTCGCTGTAGCTAATCCGGGCTGGAGGAAACCACGTGGAGTTCATCAGATGACGTGGAGACGAAGCATGAAGAAATGCGCAGAGCCATTAGGTAGAATAGGTGTCTCTCACCTTCCAGGTTGGGATTTGAGAGACTCCACAACTGGTTGGTTGGAGACACTGAAGGATATGGCAGCGAACCGGCAGCAGTGGCGTTCTTGTTGTCGTTTCTTATCAGGTCCGAATGTTTGAAACGGTATGTATGCAGAGTTCGATTGTGTATTCTGTGTGTTGACCATAGTGGTTCATCTTCTCCCTTCCTCAAAATAGATCCAACCCCTGTCCACCTTAAATTTTACCACTAAGCTTGTATGCATTGTGAGTTTGGCAGCGGGCAATGAAGTTCGCTTCACGGTATTTCGCTGTACGACGATCGACATCCAACACAGGATGACGAATGGTGTCCTTGCTCATCCAGAGTTCCCATCAGATACGAATATAATGCTTAGCATATATCGGTGGTCTAATATATTGTCACCTAGCAAAGCGATGTTGTCGGCATATTCCAGTTCAAGAACTGTTCCCTGGGAGGACGTCCTCTCCATCTTTTACTAGACCGGAGGAAGATTCTCCAGAACAGTTCCTTCCCATTAAAGCAATAAACATTGCATGAGTAACGACTATAGATTGGCCGATTCGTGGGATGGACTGCCGATCTCATCCTGTGTTTCTCACTAGCTGCATGGACTATGTTCTTGCCTGATTTGATGGTACAAATTAACGTTGTAAATATTTATTTGATTGCAGCCGAAATGCTATTTACCAAAATTTTATTGCCAAGGCGGTTCATTCATTTTTAAGCGTCTTGTGCAATAATGTGGATTAAGATGTGCATTTGAGGGTCAATACCCGACTGAGTATATGTGCGAAACTTTGAGGTCAGTTTTCCAGCGTGGCGTTGAAATCACCTGCCACCACTATGACATCAGAGCTACAGCCCAATCGGATGAGTTCAGTTAGTTCATCGTAAAATTCCTCCTCTTGTGAATCGGGACTGCAGCTGGTTTGTGCATATGCCGATATGATGAACAAACACCTTTTGATGTAGCTGCTCTTCGGAACACTAGCTGTGCTTTTGAGCCTCATAGCGCACAAACGACTGTTGACGAGTATTCATTCTGTCATTGAGACCCCAGCTTTACCGCTTCGCACGATTCCTAAACCTCACTGACCGAAATAGCACGCTTCACCGACTCCTGAGTGCTATTTGGCAACGACCTTTGGCGAGTGACAAGCAAGTTGCTTGAGTGGATGTTATTGGTTGGAAGAATGGGCAAGGGATTAGGGTCGGGTATGGAAGACGAAGAGTCACGCAAAGGTCGGGATATCTGAACAGTAGCCCACTTATCACTATCCACCCTGCTCGATGCGATGGGCATCGCGGTCCTGATTATCCTGCGCGACGACCGACGCAATATGGAATTATTTTTTGTTTCTGTTTGCATTGGGATTTGATGGACAAGTACTTCTAGGGTGTCCAGCCACTCAGCAGGAGAACGATTAGTGTTCTCAATTAATGCCCATAGTTCTGACAAGAACGTCTCTGCAAGACCTCCCGAGAAGCGAAGTGTAGGCCCATATACTTGAATCAATTACTCTTCCACAAGTATTCACGGACGGAGATACCGATTTGAGCCGAACCCCAGCCTGGAGGACAAGGAAACTCGATTTTTTCTTACCTCTATCTTCTTCGGCTTGACAAAAGCCGTCCTGTGTAACGCGTTGGGTCACAGAGGTTCACAAGCTATCACACCATGTCAGACTGCAATGTGATCCCGGCGACCTAATACTCACTTTCTCCCTCCCCCCACATTCACACGGATAAATATCTGAGCTGTTTCGTATTCGTTTACATTCAACACTCCTCTGGTTTTCGGTTCTCGTGTTCTATAGACAAACATTTCCTCAGAAAATCTTACAAAAACACAAATACGAGTACTCGGCATTTTCTTGATGCAAGAAACCATGTACCTGAATTCTCTATTCCCACTAGAGGCTGAAACGTTTATCTGATGACAATCATCAGCTAAGTAATAAGTCGATGAACTTTTTACTCTTGTTGCACTTACCTCCAGGTTATCCGGTGGCTGAATGCCGCTTAGAAGGTGCTGCCGGTACTTGGATCCGTCTGACTGGTCGGGGAGGTGCCTATCAAGGTCGTCTAATCGTTCACAGTTTATCCATAGCAGATGCGTTGACCAATCTGGGGGAGGAGTTTGATTTGCTCGTTGATTCTAACCAGAGTGCTCGGTGAGTCTTACCAATTTCTCTGGTTGCAATTATACCATGTATTCTGCTGTGTATAGGTTAGGTGAAACATGTTCCCTTAATGCAGTTCAAATGCATGAAAAAGGCGCGGTAGCTCCTATGTTGTCAGTTTTATACCTACCGTAATCCGGTTTATTGAAACATAAATTAATACGAAAAACGTTCAAAGTCTGAGTCAGTATGTGATTGATGCGATTGATGAATATCAAGTGAAGTAAATTATATGCTCCAGCAAATTTTACACGCTAATTTCGAGTTGTTCTCGCTCCAATCAGTATGACTGCGTCAAAAATTTGACTTTGGGTTTTTCAATATGACATCCAGCGCGTTGGATGGATCTTCACGATAGTCCAGGACTAGCAGTGGTCTGCTTCCAATTCTTCACTTGCGCGTGAATTGCGTCATGCACTCCGTGTGTCTGTGTTTGTGTATGCACTTCCACACTACTTTGGTTTTTGTTTGTATGCCTCACTGTAGCTACTGAGATCCGAGAATGGGTATTGGAAGAAATCATTTCGATTATGTTTGGTTTTGCCCCCAAAATAATTTGTCCTAAAACCGTGCGTCAACAGCAGTTAAGTTATACATAGTTTTTGCTCATGTGATTTCGCGAACACTCCAATTGCTATCTGTAAATGATCTTTCGAAAACAGTCTTATCAAATAACCTCTGTTTCCAAACAGACTGAAAAACCAGGAACTTCGGGATCTGTCACTGCCAAACGGAACAACGGCCCCTACTGTATTTGATGTATTTGGCGAGCTCTATAAGACGGTGCTATCTGGACAGTTTAGTAAGCCACCAGAAGGTCACATGCTTCCCATCACTGAGTTCTCAAGTACGTTCATTAGCACCTTTTTATCCATATGTCCCTTCGTTTGATCCTGATTTGAGGATAATGAATGATCGCCTTCATATTGCGACACTACAACCACGTGATTTCTTCTTACGGGATCCGATGTCACAGGCAGTAGTTCATTTGTTCGCTTACTTTCCGTATTCCAGTGCTGAGTCAGAACGTCACAAATCTGGCTGTCATCCGCACACCTAAGCAATGCTTCCCATTGCTAAACGACAATATCATAAATTTCTATGACGAAATTATCCGCTTGCTTGACGGTAGTCAAGAAGGTGATATCGTACCCGATATTGATGACCAAGGTTAGACGCTATAAAACCTTAATTATTTCTTTGTGAGATTAGCAACTACTCCGGGTTCGCGTATCTTAAAGTTCCAACTTCAACGTTCCCTTGTAGTTTTAGCCTCTTAGTATCAATAGGGTCAGTGCTGTGTTTCTGATTAGTCAAAGTAACTGGATTACTCAAAGGATCCTTGGTGAAATTATATGTACCGGTCAGTGCAATCGGTCCGAATTTTAGTTTGGATGGACAATGTATTTTACACTAATGAGCATTGCATAAACGACGAAGCCTTATGAATTTCGTTGGGTACAGAGTAAATAAGGCGTGAACTGAAAACCTCCACACCGTTATTTCTACCTGATTGGGTCTTATCGACTGTGTGAATCCATCGATCCATTTGAGAATCGAACCCTAGCATCGTCCACCTTTTCGTCTTCTTTCTCGTCTTCTCACTAATCTTGTTTTGTGTTTGCTCAACGACTTCCCCTCTTTCTCTTTAAATTACAGCCCCTGATGAAAAGTCCGGATCACCGAAGGATTTGATGCATGCCTACTTCGATTGGTTACCTTTCAATGATCCCCAATCACCGCTAAACGCAAGCCCACAGTTCTGCTCGGGATCACGTACCGTGCGAGTGCATTTGGATGGTCTAGATATTGTGTGTAGGTCTCACAAACCGTTTACCCAGTTGATTTTCTTTTTACCGTTTTATTCGAATGTTTTTTTCCGTATTTTATTAAAACTACCTATCGTGTGCTGTGAAATTTTTCGAAATACGGCAGTCGCATTCTATGGTTTTGTTGCATTCGCCCTTCTATAACTTCTTCAAATCTGTGTGAATCGTATTCATGCTTTGACTACTTTAGTGCGTTGCGGTAGCAAATATCTGTTTACTGTTGATACGATCATGCCAGTACAGCACCGGCAATGGAGGATGATGGACAGCTATTCTATAAGATGGCTTCATCTCGTTATTTCGTCGTAAGATAATATTTCTTTCCATCTTGTTCAAAAGATGCGCTGTAGGCATGAGTGGGCAAATACCTCTGTGCTTTTGGTGTTCTCGGCCCGTAGCGGTAACATTTCATAGCTGCACGGAAAATGTAACTCGTGTTTCGAAGGCTCATCTCGCTGTAGGGACGCTCCGTGTGCCGCATTGGTCTTCATCGTTATTTTATCCTTCGCTTGACTGTTTGAGAGTAACACAGTACCGAGGTATTTGAGGGATGGCACAAATGAATAGAGAAACCAAAACACTGGTCGGCGCAATGCATCCTGGATCATTTTGCTTTCTTTACACATGCATGCGGCGGTTTATGTGATCAGTTATATATAGTCAGAAAACATAATCTCAGGCAGAGAAGGAATACGATTGACGTCAGTTACCGGACACATTTGTTCCCAGAGTAGCACCCGAACGATAAGCCATTCATACTGTCTGCACAGCTGTGGATGGTTATTTTAATTACTGGTGTTTCAAAGTATTTCACAAACCTGGTGTTGTTTGTGTTGTAGACGATTCTAAATGCGTATCTCAATATGACTGCTTCATTTGGACCAAGTGTTTGGTGATGGCTGGATTGAGTTTTCTACTAGTCATCAGTGATGCCACCTTCAAAGTTTTCACTCACGCCGAATATATTCGGTTTGTAGAGCATCTGGAACAGAGAAAAGCCCCTTGTTTCGGTCGATTGTGGCTATCACTCGCAATGGAAAGACGATGGATTATCAGTAAGCAGAAAATCCTTGCGACAACGTGAATCACACTGGTCCATCTTTAGTTCTGGAAAATTACCAATAATGGGAATGGACAATAAAATGCACATACTTCGATCGCTTAACAATTCTTCATGTTTCCATATGTGGCAGAATTATCTGTGGAGCCTGGCAGCCAACGAATGCTGCGAGGTTTCAGGAGCTTCCGGTGAGATGCTGTTCTCCCTGTTCTGCTTTTCTATTCTTCGTGTAAAAAATGCGGGGTCTTTGAAGTTGGCCGTATTATTTTTTGTTATCGCTGGAGCTTTGGCTTTCCACCACCTTTGGGCTCATTTTCATATTAATTACTGTAACCTTAGTGATACCCTACAACGCGCCCAGTTTAATTTCCACACGACATTAGTCTTCTGATTCAAAACGGCGCTATTCTTCGATCATCATTTCAAATCCCTACCTCATTCCTGACTGTAATCCCTGTGAGTTATTTACCTTCCTGGATGCATTTTATCCGGTATGTCGGAGTAAAATGTCACATCTGTTTTCATCGGTGTTAGTGCTTTCAACAGATCGGTTGTGAGTTTTTACACACTTATCGCTCTTCAGAGCATCGTTCGTTTTCCCACTCGGAATGATGCCACTTTCGGTACTGAACTATCTTTTATCGTGTATTCAAACGTAATTCTGATCACTGTCTAATTAAAGTTTTACCTACGACATATAGTAAATGCAATGAACAAATCCTCAGGAAGAAAAGTGCACGTAAGATGCCTACACGACATTATTATTAGCCGAATTTGATGGACTTAGAATCCATGATTGCTTGTATTTATTTATGTGAAGTGGGTACAGAAGTAACGCAGCATGTACCCGCGGGAACGCTCTAAAATGATAGTAATAGACACTCGGTCGCAGCTCTCACTGTCAGACACTCTCACAAAGGGAGAATACAACTGTCGCGCACGAACGTATATTGACGCACGGAACGAACGGCCAAAAGCAATGTACAAGCCGTATCTGGCGCGGGAAGGGGGTACACAAGGTTCGTATCGATTATGAGTTCTCGTGTATTTCCGGACTCTCCTGTTTGTTCGTTGTTCATCGTATTCAACCATTGTGCGCCTGAACGGGTCAAGGAACATACACCAATTATTGGTACTGTACACATGTCCGACTATTCCGGTTTCAATGTCGTTGCATTTACAACTACTTTCCGATCCCCATATTTCCGTGTTCTGTAAAAGCCTCATCAATTATCCCATCTTTTATTAAGATGTGTGCTGTCCTCAGGTTTGGGTTCAATTACAACCCACCCGCTTCATCTCTAGCAGACTGAAATGGTTACGTAGGTGTATCGCTCAGTAGATAAATTGACTGTCAAATCTGTCCACTTTTATATTAGAAGAGAATTAGCCTAGCTCAATAATTTGTATGTTTTCACTGTGCAAGGGAACATGTATTGCCGTCAACTATGAAACAGATTGAAGTTGCTCTGCGGTCGTTCACCTTGACCTACGGCAGTCTCATGTGAGCACATTGTGAGCAAATTGTGCAAGCGTAACCGAGACCATCCACCTACGACTGTCACAACAGGGCAGTTTCTAAAGGAGTTGGATACCATCAACAGATGGATTGTCCTCAGTGGTCCCAAAACATGTGCGAATCACCTCGCACGCATTATTTGATTTATCTTTATTACATGTTTCTCAAAAGGTAGTTGACACATGGCGTAATGTTCACGTCACTCCAATACATAAGAAAAGGGCGAGTTTCGGTCTATCGTTTCGTATTCGGTACTACCCAAGGATTTTGAGCGAATTGTTATTAAGTGTCTATTTTCTCTTGTTGTTTTTTGGGATTCCAATCAGCTTGCTTATTGTAAGTGTCGCGGTACCGTAGATGCGTTTTCTTGAATTACACATTCTGTATCATCCACTGTGGGCCAGAAAACTAAAATGTTCATGTTTGCTTTTTGGTATACGCAAACGCGTTTTACTCTGACAGAAGCATTCTAATGAGACTTATAGCAACATGATCTCTCGCCGCCTCTTTAAATCCATTCTAATAGCCTGTATGCCTGTATGTAAAAGTGACCACATTTTTCACTGAAAACACTGATGACTTTACTTGACTACCTCTGTGACTTCCTTTATACTTGTTGCTTCGCAGTTGATGTCGTATGAAATGCATCGAGCTGTGTTGTTTAGTGATCCTGTAAAAAGTTTCTTATCATACAGGTTAGAGACCTCGTGAGCAACCTAATCAATGTGTAGAGATATTAGATGATATGACTGAGTGTCATGAACGTTGGTGTTCGTGCATTTATTCAGTTTATTCACAAACGTAGTTTGACTGCTTTCAGCTGTAGATTTCTTTATTCTATTGCTCCACTCAAATGGCGCATCAAAGAGCAACCAAAATCGTCGTGTTGAATTGCAAGGTTAACGAACGTATGAGATAAACTAATTCCTCACTAACGGGTACATCCCGCTCCCTATGTGACCGCTATAGGTACTTTGCTTTTGTTTCTCTTACAGATTTCCGCACCCGGCCTTGATGGTTGGCTAATATTTCATCATCAAATCTCATGTGTTGTTGTTGATGATGGTGTTTGTGATCAGTGATGACATGTCAACAAGAATTATCAAGATAGTTGCATCACGAATGTTACGAATCGTGTGAAAACTATTATGATTCCCTCATTGTGACACCCGTTTATTTTATTTGTTTAGACAACCAGTAAATAGATTTCGTATAATTCTGATTTCAGATAATCCGGAAACGGTGTCAGAGATTCACTCCCTACTACGTCAATTATCTGCATTGACTAAAATTTTCGGCGGCTCGGAAACAACACAATCGCCCAGTCATGAATCTCATTTTCCAACCAACTCGACACCTATCAACTTGATGAATTTCAGATTGGGCTTGGAACGCTTATGCGTAATGATCATCGATATCTGTGCTGACTCCACTAAGGTCAGCAGCGATCGGGAAACGATGATGGAACCCATGCCTATGCGGAAGGCGGAACCTCTGTTATTGGCTACAATCAATCTATTGACATTGGGAATGCAAACAGGCATGTTATTTTGTTTCCATCTGCTTTTGTGTTCCTATGCATGTTTCTACCAAGTACACTGTGAAGGTAACAGCTAGTAAAAACCAAAGCTGTTTTCCCTTGCACGACCCGGGTGAGTTTGTTCGCATCGTGGTTACTCACGCGCATGTTGTTATGCGATTCACGGGTTTGATACATGAAGCAACCTGGGCCTTTCTCGATGGGTTCAGGGGAATTTCTCTCATCAGCTACGGCCCCAGGAGGGGATAGGGCAGAAACCTTGGCCAGTTACATGATGAGTACAGGTTGGATTTGGCGACCCAAGTTTGTTTGTTTCGCAAAACAAGTGATAATGTCTCATTTTTATCTTCGGGAGCTATACTCTGAAGAGCTTTTCTTGTTTATTTCAGAACTCTTTCCTAACCAGGTTAACTTCACTCCGTTGTCGCTTTTTGTCACATGAATAGGCACTACCCGTATGGCTTCTCTACGTCTGGCCGGGATTCACCTGTGTGACATGTTTGATAAATCACCTGCCGTTCCCTACTTACTGACATCGAATTTCTCTCCTGCTCATCCATTGGAAAAACCGGACGATCCGGTTCTCGATGTTCAAATGTTTTGGCACGCATCTGACTCCATTGATTCGCGATTCTCTACTCACATTGAGACTCGTTTAAGCCATCTAACATATGTTCACCATCAGAAGCTACTCTCCCGGATCGCGTCTTATCTGCATCGAATACTTCCTGTGCAATCTGGCGGTGAACAGCACGGGCTGCCACGCAGCACCTCCCCTCGGTCTGAACACTACCAGACCCGAATCAAGTTGGATCTACTCTCGCCCCATCTGTTGTTCCCGAATTTGTCTACACCCCATGTGCTGGTCGCACGCGCCACATCTATCCGAGTGACCAACTCAAGTCTGGCGGTCCAAAGCAGTGACACGAAATTAGACGCCGGATCAGTTATTCGCATTCATTG